GCAACACGATCGGCATTAGCACCAACACCATGCTCGTCCTCATCCTCTTGCTCCGCCTCATCCCCTCCCTCCGTCAGCAGAAAGTCCTCATCTATCGCCCGCCCCCGTCAGAAGGAAGTCAGGGAGGTGAAAGGGAGAAGGGATCTTCGTGAGTATCATGATCAGCATGGTCATCATCACCATCCGCAAGGACATGATCATCATGATGATGATGATGATCATCATCAGCACGATCCATATCATCATCATCGTCATCATCATCGTCTTCGTCGTCACCGCCGTTGGCACCTCATCATCATCATCATCATCATCATCATCATCATCACCATAAGCATAAGCATCATCGTCATTATCAGCATCATCATCATCATCATCATCATCATCATCATCATCATCATCATCAACATCGTCGTCATCGCCATCGTCGTCGTCATCGACATCGTCTTCCCAATCATCATTTTTAGCTGCAGCATCAGCATCGGCACCACCAGCATCATCAGCAACAACATTATCATCAGCAACACGATCGGCATTAACACCAAAACCATGCTCGTCCTCATCCCCTTGATCCTCCTCATCCTCCTCCTCCATCCTCCTCCCCCGTCAGCAGGAAGCTAGGGAGGTGAGAGGGAGAAGGGGAGGGGGAGGAGTATCATCAGAATGACAATCATGATGATCATGATTGTGATGATCTTCGTGGTTATCAAGAGTAGCATGGTCACCATCAGTACCCGCAAGGACATGATCATCATGACCAACATCACCATCATCATCACAATCATCGTCATTATCATGATGATGATGATCATCATCATCATCATCATCATCGTCGTCATCATCGTCATCGTCGTTCGCGGAGGGCCCCGTTTGATTATGTTGAAGAAAGGCGGGAGCATGCACAGTGATGGTCGCCAACGACGGGGCAGCCCCCGCCCGGCCATGCGTAGACCACATCGTGGCGCCAACGGCCACCATTATGCTGAGATGCCCACTGCCGTGCGCAAGAGTCACAATTTAAAATGCCTGGGGACGGCAGGGCGCCACCATTCCTCTAAGATGCAGACTGCCGTGCGAAGAACTTACAGTCTGTGTCATTGGGCTGGAGCACGCAGAATAGTGGCCGCCAACGGCGGGACAGCCACCGCCCAGCAACACGTGGACCACACCGTGGCGCCAACGACCACTGTTCTTCTCAGATGCCCGGTGCCCTGCGAAGTATTCAAAATATGTCAACCTCCTGCTCTCTCCTCGGGAGCGCAGAAACGGCGACAACGATACGAAGACAGATGCAACGCCTGATCCGTCTACTCCGTCTCCTCCGTGACAAGCGGACACGCCAAAGCCGATAGACAAAAAACCGATGCACAACAAAACCGATGGACACGACAAGTGACAAAAACCGATGGACAATAAATATTTGCTGGCCTCTTCGAGCTCTCTGGGGAAGCCTCTTGGATATCTTGGGGCCTCTTGGGCCGGCCGTCTGGAGGCCGTCCTGGGCATCTTGGACCGTCTATGTGGCCTTCGGCCCATCCCGCCAACGTGCCTGGGTTGTGGGTCAGGGGCCTCTTGAAGTTCGTTTGGATGCCGTGGCGAGCCTCTCGGGGCCTCTAGGAGGCCTCTGGAACTCCATCGGGGGCCACTCCGGGCCTCCAGGGGGGCCTCCTGGGGCGGAAGGCTTGAATTGTCGATTCGCGTTCCCCCTCTTGGGGCCTCCTTGGGGCCATCACGGGGCCCTCTTGGGCGATCATGACCCGTTCAGGGGCGCCAAGAAGCTCTTCAGGGGGGCCAAGAAGCCCTTCAGGAGGCCTTCACCGTATTCGAGGATCTGTATACTCCGGAGACCTCTTGGCCGTACTAAAGCCCACCGGGCCGCACAAAAGCCCATCTGGCCGCAGCAAAACCTTATCTCCCCCGCTACCTCCATGCGGGGGGCTGGCGGTTTGGGGGGAGGGGGGAAAGAGCTGCTAGCTACATGTCACACTCGACGTCATCTGAAATACAAATTAGAGCACCACCCGGGGGATACGACCACCCTTCGTGGGTGGGGGGGGGGCCGTGCAGCTTTCGATTTGCGAACTGCGTCGGACATAAACTTGTGTGTATAGATGTGGGAACTTTATTTCCATATACACATAACATCCTACACACGTATACACACCTTCACATATACACATATATACATGTATACCGTATAGCGCGACACCAGCCTCTATAGGTATCACGATATCTCTGTCCCACGTTGTGTGATTAACCTGGCTGCCCAAAAACAACCCGACCGATCTATATATTTACCGAAATCGCTATCAACAGAGCCCACCTTCCAGTCTCAAGTTTCATGTACCAGTCTATCTATGCATTGCTCGACTTGATTTCCACATCAACTAACACCAACACACATATCGATATCACTGTCTCTCCAACGGTACCACCTACCGACCGATCACACAACCTGACGAAATCACATATCGTTGTGGATGTGTATACACAAGAATGTGCATGCCAATCCCACGATGCACGCACATATACATGTACGTACATATAGATATAACATTATACCGGCCCCCCTGCCTCACGCCTCGAGGTCCTGCAAGAAGTTTCACAGGAAGGGCTCACCAATCGGAGGTCTGGTGGGATTTGCAGCGCCGCAGACCTCTTGACCGGCGTCCCTGGCCAGAGCGCGTATCGGACAAAACCGCCCAAGCGCAAGGCGCAATGCACAACTCGGGCTGCTGCTGCCTGGCGATCCTACAATGACAGCTCCCTCTAGCAGTCCTACAAGGAGGCTTCCAGCAAGGACTTGCCACTCGGATGTCAATGTAACCTTTTGGTAGCACTAAGATTAAAGGAAAGAGAATGCACCAGCCAGCAAAATGCAACATCAAGCAAAATGCACCAGCCGGCAGAATGCACCAGACAGGGAGGGGCGGGAGGAGGGAGGTCATCCGAGAGTTCCAACGGTGGCCTGACATCGAATCTTACCACACAGTGTATCCCTTGGGGCCTTGGTGGTCACCAGCTGTCATCTTCGGACCTGTCGTCAATCCAGCTCGATCCCTGGATCCCAGTCCAGAGCATGGTGCGTTTCAAACGGGGGTGCCCCGCGCTCCCGTCTTGGGATCTGGGCCGGGATCTGGCTCGATGTGAGTCGGGCCTGTCCCCCTGCAGGGGGCTTTTCGAGGACAAATGAAACATGCCCCAAAAATATGCCAAAGTGACACAAAAAATACTCCAAGAATAGTCCCCCGACGATTTTTTTATTATCATTTTTGAGTTGTCCTCCTGTAGAGGGACGGGCCCGACGTAAGGCTCGATCCGCGGAGGCCGGCTCCGGAGCGTGCCCGCTCGAAGACCGCGTGTCCCAGGTCCAGGCGACGGCGCGCCCATTTGGACGCCCGACATGGGTACCGAAAAAATGGGTACGATGCCCGACAACAAATGTTGTCCCAAACCAACAGCGGCCGCTGTTGGGCAGGCGGCCTCCTGTCTCGAATGGACACAGGCCGCGGCGGCGTGGACAGCGAGGCCTGTTCAAAATGAACAGGAACTACTGTTGGGCATAGTACCCATTGTTTCCGTGCCCATCTCGGGCGCCCGGAGCCCAAGGCAGTCCCTTCGGCGCGCCCCTCGGGCCCGGCGACAGGGGGGGGATAGCAACTGGCCATCGCTCGGACGCCCATGCCCTGTGTCTTTTTTCGGTCTCGTGCGTGGCTTTTTCGCCAAAGGATCAAGGATGCTCCTCGATGGTCCTCGCCGAAGAAAAAGCGCACACGTCCGAGCGATGCCAGGGCAAAGGGGGGGTCTGAGAATCGGCTCACGCAACTGATTCTCCCAGCGCCTCCTGGCGCAGGGAGGCGCCCACGTATCGAGGAATGGGCCCGGCGGCGGGGCCGAAAGAAGCTGCATGCAGCAGATTTCGTAACCCCCCCTTTCCCAATCCCCTCCTTTCGTCCGGCCCGAGTCCCAGGAGTGCTCGCTAGAGAATTGTGCGCCCGAGGGACAGGCCATGTACATTATGACTGCAAGCGGCCTAGTCGAGATGCTCCCATGGAAATTTGTGAGCAAGGGGGGCATGCCTGCACCGCCTTTCTCATTAGCAAGGCTAAAATACAAGTGAGCGACAAAAACAAACGGATCTGACGCGAGAAGACACACTGCAAACCCACGCCACGGCTTACGTGGTCCATCTCCTAAGAGATGGCCACAAGATGGGCCCCCGAGGCTCCAAGAGGCCACCACGATGCCCGCAAGATGCCCTCGAGAGGCTCCCGAGAGATCCCCAAGAGGCTCCAAGAGGCACACGGAGGCACCCAAGACGCCACAAGAGAGAAAGGAACCCGAAGAGACTCCAAGAGGCATCCAATAGGCCTCTGGCCTTTCTGCTCGGCCGCCTCCTCCTTCTCCTCTTCCTCATCGGCCTGTTCCACCCTCTCCCTCCTCCCCCTCCCCTACTCCCTACTACTACGCCTCCTCCTGCTCCTCCTCCTCCAACTTCTCCAACTCCTCCTCCTCCTCCTCCTCCTGCTCCTCCTCCTCCGTGAGGCCCTCCAGAGGCCCCAAGCGTCTATAAGATTCACCACTGACGATGACGACGCGCGAAAGAAGCATAGTCCGGCGGGCGAGCGGGAGCTGGGGTGAAACTGGTATTCGGTGATGGGACGGCTTCGAGGATCGTCAGGAATGTCTCAGGGCGTCTGGGGGGGGGAACTTTTGGAGGCCTCTTGGGGAATGTACCTGAGGCCTCCTGTGGGCCTCTTTGGGACTTCTTGGGGCCTCTTGGGGGCCTCTTGGGGGCCGCTCGGGGCATCTTGGGGGCCTCAAGGGGCGGAGAGCTCGAATTGTCTGTTCGTGGTCCCCCTCTGGGGTCTCACTTGAGGCGTTCTTGGGGCCCTCTTGGGCTGCCTTGGAGGCCTCTTGGGCCGTCTGGGAAGCATCTAGGGCCGTCTCTGCGCCCTCTTGGGGCCTCTGAAGCCGTATTGGGGCGATACTTGGGGCCTCTGGAACCGTTTTGGAGCGTCGGGGAGCCGAACAGGCAGAAACGCGAAACTCCCTCAAAAACCTATGGAAAATCAATGACTTTCGCCTCTCGGGGCCCTTTGGGGAATTCTCTTGGAGACCCCTTGGGCCGTGCTGGAAACCTTTTGGGCCGTCTGGAGACCATCTTGGACGTGTAAGAACAATATTTCGGCGACTATGGCCACTCTTGGACCGTCTTGGAGGCCTCTTGGGGCCCTTTTCATCTGTTGTGGGGCTGTCTTGAATCGTGGGGCGTCCCTGGCGGCCTGGTCCCGCCATGCGCTGTCGAGGAGCCCGTCCCGCCCCCCCCCCGCCTCGAGCCCAGGGGTATACATACAGGCAGACATACAGACTTACATTTCATTCTCGTGCGTTACATTAAACCGCAATATATTACATGGCACTACACTACATTACAATACAATACACTGCATTTCATGGCATTGCATTACCTCACCTTACATTACATACCATGACACTGCATATACATACATACATACATACATACATACATACATACATACATACATACATACATACATGCATGCATACATACATACATACATACATACATACATACATACATACAAACGTACATACATACATACGTACATGCAAACATACATACAGACAGACATATAGACAGACAGACAGGCACACATACATACATGCATACATGTATACATACACACTTACAGGCAGACATACACAGAGACAAGCAGACAAACAGACAGACCGTCAGACAGACAGGCAGGCAGACAGACAGACAGACACGTACATATATGATATATGTACGTACATATGCACATATACCTGTGGGTATGTTATGTGGTGAGGTCCAAATGTGCCATATGGCGTCCACTGTGGATATGTATACGTATGGGAAGGACGGTATGGGCTACACCTGTGATCTACCCTTTTTTGTTGTTCTAGGCACTACCGCATTTCGACGTAGTTGAACATACATGACCACGAATCTTAGCATACCGAGATAAACTGTGTGTAAGGTGCAACAATACTTTCAGACTCCAAACACACTCATTAGTTATTATCGAAGAAGCCAAAATCAAACGCCTTTGGGCAAAGGCAACACACGGTTACTTTTATGGGCGTCCATGTCTCTTGGATTGGAAACGCATCATTTTGTGATGATTTCCACTGCCTCCTTCCGAGCGGGCGAAGGGAACTGGGCCGACGGAATGTCAACAACTTGTACAACAAGAAGAGCAAACAACTAGAAACGGGTGACAAACAAACACCGTGCACATTCAAACAACAACAGCTCACTTTGGTTGCACAACGTAGAGCAAAGCACCACCATATAATTCGGAAGTGATAGAAACCTGTGGCCACAGTGGTTCAGCAAAGCCAGAGTGGCTTTGTCCTGTGCGGTGGCGTACCATCGAAAGCCGATTCACAATGAAACACACAGCACCGTTGGTTACCTGCTCGTTTGTGGAGGAGGATGAGGAGGCCTGGCGGCCAGAGCCGTGGCACTGGCGGCAGCAGCAGCCGAGGCCGACTGCGGTCCTCCGGGTACCCTGGTCCGCGAGCCTCTCGAACAGCGACGCGCCAAGCCCAAACTCCTCACGCGAAGCGCTGTTGCAGCCGGGGGTTGCGGGGTGTTCCTCTCTCCTTCTCCCCCCGTCCCTCCTTAATCCATCCCTCCCTTCATCTCTCCTCCTCCTCCTCCTCCTCCTCCTCATCCTCATCCTCCTCCTCGCCCCTCCTCCTCCTCTTCCTCCTCCTCCTCCTCCTCATTCTCATCCTCCGCCCCCCCTCCCTCATCATCCTCTTCCCTCCTCTCTCCTCCTCCTCCCCCCTGCTCCGCCCTCCTCTCCATAGTAGGGGTTGTGGTAGGGTTGGGCGCAGCCGTTGGAAAATAAATCCGGCGCAGAGCTGCACTGCACCCAGGTTCTGATGAGGAGCGCACGGATCGACAATTCAGCCAGCGCTGATCCACGCAACCCAAAAAGAGTTTGGGATATGTCCTCGTGATTAGCCGCAAACCTGCTTCGCCTGCACATCATTATCCTCCCTCCCCCTCCTCCCTCAATCTACGCTGGGCAGCATTTAGGCGCAGCAGTTGCGAGTAAGGTTTGGTGGTGGCGTTGCGGTTGGCTCTGGCGGCCCCGTCGGAGGTTAAATAATGTGCAGAGCTGCACGCAGGGTCTGGGCAGGAGCGCACGGATCTGCAAGGCAGCCAACGAACGCTGATTCACGCTGTGAAACTTTGCAGCTGTCTGTTTCGAGGGCGCGCGAACATGAATTAGCTATCTGTGGACTTGGCGCGCGGTCGCCAAATCCATGGATCGGGGGAGTCGCCCTCCACAAAATGCGGCCGGTGCCGCCTCGTTCGGCGGCGGGAATCCGCGATTTCCAATGGAAACAGGACCCGTCGCTAATCCACGCCCCCTTGACCAATGTTTGCGATCGCCTGTCTGTTGCGGGGTAGCTCGCCTTTTTCTCCTTTGGCCCTCGCTCTGAAATCCGTTCAGCGGTCGGCAACCCACGTCAATGGCGAACGCCGATTGGCATCTCCCATTCCGCCTTCCATCGGTCTAGGCCGCTAAGAGAAAATCCAACCCTACAGTTAACGTCTATGAGACTTTCGCTTGCTCCAAAGTGGGGGTCAACAAGATCAAGGGGAGAGGGATCAGGGGCGAGTGCAGTTCATATACGAAGCTTGCATGTTGTTTGTCGGCCCAGCAGAAGGATTACAGTCGGACTTGACTGGACAGGACACCCGAGAGAACACGAGGCTCTTCCGCAGGCAACGTGGCCCCAGAACACCCAAAGTCATGCGGGCTGCATGGGTCGGGATATAAGTAATCAACCCGAACTGTATCTGGCGTCGCACCCAGCACAGCAGACCTCTGGACGGGCCCAGGCAGAGCCTTGGACTGCAGCATCCTCAGCACCAGAGCATTGGTGTCCCTGAGGGTCAGGGTCCCTCCTTGCTCCTTCCTTTCCCCTCATACCCTCCCCTCTCTCTACCTGCATCAACGTTCGGTTGAGCCGAAATGATACTGGCAACTTCTCGGACATGAATCCGAGGGACACGTGGTGGCCGGTGCCGCAAATTCTTCAGTCCATGCCGGCGACGACAAGGTCCAAAAGAGGTGCTCGCCCTCAACTCCCCTCATCCCTTCTCCCCTTACTCCTCCTCCTCCTCCTCCTCCTCCTCCACCTCCACCTCCAATTCCATCTTCTCCTCCCCCTCTCTCTCTCCCTCCCTCCCTCCCTCCCTCCCTCCCTCCACCATACCCTCTTCCTTTCGATCCCTCTGCCACCTCCTCCTCTGCCATGCTTTCCAGCTCTGTCACAAGTCCCATATAAGGCCTCATCATCACCACCCCCACAATCATTTGTATCATCATCAAAACCAGTATCACCATCAGCATCATCAGCAGCATCATCATAATCACTACTACCACCATGGTCGTCATCATCACCATCATCATGATGACCATCATCCATTTCATCAGCTTCATCATCATCAGCAGCACCATCAGCATGATCATCAACATTATCATCCTGTTCATCTTCATGATCATGGCCATGATCATAATCATCGTCACCATCACCAGCAGCAACATCGTCATCATCATAGTCATTAGCGTTGTCATCGACATGACCAATATCATCAGTCTCAGCATAGTCAGCATCATCCGCATCACCATCATCGTCGTCATCATCCTCATCATCATCATCACCACCACAATCATTATCAGCAACAGCATCAGCATCACATCATCATCATCATCATCATCATCATCATCATCATCATCATCGTCATCATCATCATCATCATCATCATCAGCAACATCACCATCCTCGCCCTCATCAGCATCAGCATGATCACCACCACCACGACGATCATCATCAGCATCAGCATCAGCATCATCATCCTCAGCAGCAGCAGCATCATGATCATCATCATCATCATCATCACCATCACAATCACCACCACCACCATCAACATCATCATCACCATCATCATCGAAAAGCAACATTATCATCAGCAGCATCACCAGAATCCTCGTCATCATCTTCCACACCATCCTCATCCTCATCCTCATCCTCATCCTCATCCTCATCCTCATCCTCATCCTCATCATCGCCATTACCATCACCATCACCAGCACCATGATGACCATCAGTATCACCATCATCGCCATCGTCACCATCATCACCATCACAATCCACCACCATCCACCAGCACAATCATCGTCACCGCCGCCATCATCATCACCACCTTTACCATCCTCATCCTCCTCGTCCCCTCGTCGTCCTTATCATCCACATCGTCATCGTCCATCCGTCCTCCTCCTCCTTCTCATCCCACTCCCCCTGTCCCTCGATCATCTGCTTCCTCCCTCCTCCCTCCACCTCCTCGCCCCTGCTTCATTCCTGGGGGCCGCGCCACGTCTTCGCGGCCATGTGCCCGGCATATCCCTGGGAAGCGCAGGGCTCGTCAAGCGAGGCGGTCCGGCGCTCGGGCCCGTCGCCCTGGCCTGCTGCTAGGCCCCCCGCAGGGCAACCTGAACAGTTCCCAGCCTCGCCATCGCTCGGACGTCCATTCCCCGTGCATTCTTCGGTTTCGCGCGTGCTCGTTTTGCTAGATGATCCAAGATGCTCCTCGATGGTCCCCGCCGAAGAAAAAAACACGTCCGCGCGGTGCCTGGGCCACGCGCACGCCAGCTTCTGAGTGAGGGCCCGGCCTGCAGCCCGCGAGAGCGCCTCCTGCAGAGCAGGGGGGGCGCATCGCACGAGGGCCAAACTCGGCAATCCACTGCTGCCTCCAGCCAATCTGGGAGGAGAGCCCCCGAAAACGTTAGGTGGCAACTACTGGGAGTTTTTCGTCGTAAGGATGAAGGGGGATTAAGCCCCATTTGGGGGCTGCTACGCTGGATTAGGCCGCGGATTAAGCAGATTGAGCGGGACGAAGCTGAAATAGCCTGGATTAAGCCGGATTTCGGACCAGGACAATGTCAGAATTGGACCTCCCAGGAGTTGCATCCGGAAAACGATATAGCAGCTCCCCGCGCACAGGCGTGGAGGCTTTCGAGAACTCGACCGGCCTGCAGTTGTTGCCGTGTGACTCGCACGTGAAGTTCGTGCTTCTGCTCGCCTAGATGGCCGGCTGGACGCCGCAGTGCGCTGTTGGCACCAGCAGCGCAGTCCAACCGCACAGTTCGACAGCGCATGGACCGACTGGTCAGTGCAGTTCTTGAGGGCATCGATAGGGGGGGACTGACCTGGAATCGGCGATACATCGCCGATAGATCGGCGATAGGCCCCCGATAGTAAATCCGCACGTTCCTGGGCAGGTTGGGGCTATCGGGCCCCTGTCGGCGATCAATGGGCGATTGGGGGTCGATGCATCCCCCCCTATGCCTATCCCCCCTATCGTTGCCCCTGAGTTCTGGAGAGGTTAAACAAGCGGGCCGACCATTCGCGGTCACACGCGAAGCGCCGAGTCTCTCAGGAAAAGCTGCATTGTTACCAGACTGCTCGCGTCGGAGCAGGCAGCCGTGCCGCTGTCAACGTCGCCGCTATCACAACGAGATCCTGTTTCGGGATCCGCAGGTGTTCCGAGACGCCCGCATTCGGGCGTCGAGACACGTCCCTACGACGACCAGTCCAGCAGTTGGGTAGCTCTGTTGGCGCCTCTCCCTGCGGCGTCCTAGTACAAACTGTGTAGAGACTCGCGTGTGTCGCCGTCCCACCGCTTGAGTTGAGTCGGGCGTGTCCCCCTACATGGGGATTTTCGATGACAAATAAAAAATACCCCAAACATACCCCAAGAAGGAAAAAATACTCAAAAATAGTCCCCAGACTATTTTTGGACTATTGTTGGACTCTTTTTGATTTTTCGTAGAAAAAACCCCTGTAGGGGGACACGCCCGACTTAACGCTTGCGGTGGCCGCCATGCTGCCGACAACCCTCGTGCTCCGTGCCCCGACCAGCCTACAGATCAGTGCTCTCGCGGTGTTGCTCGGCTCGGTGGGCGGCATGGCCACGCGCGCAGCCGGGCGCCCGAGGCCTTGTGCGAGGCACCTGTGCCACGCCGAGGACGTCGTGCAAGCTCGCGGTTTCACCGGCTCTGCAGGTGCCGAGGAGGCGACGACGACGACGACGACGACGACGACGACGACGACGACGACGACGACGACGACGGACGACGACGACGACGACGACGACGACGACGACGACGACGACGACGACGACGACGACGACGACGACCCCGATGGGCGCGGAGGTCCTGCGCCGCCGGGGAGAGCACCGTCGGCGGAAGCTGCAGGGGGTCGCCCAGCAGGCAGAGGCGACCGCTGGAGCGGGCGCCCGGGCAGCAGACCGCCGTCAGCGCCGCGGGCTCCGTGGCCTGGGTGGCCTCGGAGGGGTTCGGGCGAGGAGGGGCGGGCCGGGAGGGGGGAGGGGATGGGGATGGGGCGGGGGGCGGGGGGCGAAGAGGCAGGGAGGCGGGGAGCGATGAGGCGAGAGAGCGGGGGGGGGAAGAGGGGTGGCGAGGCGGGGAAGGGCAAGTGGCGAGGGGGGGGGCAAGGAGGAGCGGGCGGCGGGGGGGACGAGGAGAGGGGCGAGGAAGGGCCACCACATGTATATGTATGTAAATATGTATGTATGTATGTGTATGTATGTATGTATGTACGTACGTACGTACGTACGTACGTATGTATGTATGTATGTGCGTACGTATGTATATATGTATGTATTTGTATGTATGTATATATGTATGTACGTATGTATGTACGTACGTATGTACGTACGTATGTATGCATGTATGTACGTACGCACGTATGTATGGATGCATGGATGTATGTATGTATGTATGTGTATGTATGTATGTATGTACGTACATACGTACGTATGTACGTGTGTATGTATGTACGTACGTACGTACGTACGCATGTATGTATGCATGTATGTATGCATGTATGTATGTATGTATGTGTTTGTATGTATGCATGTATGTATGCATGCATGCATGCATGCATGCATGCATGTATGTGTGTATGTATGTATGTATGTCTGTATGTATGTATGTATGTATGTATGTATGTATGTATGTATGTATGTGTGTATGTATGTGTAGGTATGTATGAATGTATGCATGCATGCATGCATGCACGCATGCATGCATGTGTGTATGTATGCATGTATGTATGCATGCATGTATGTATGTATGTATGTATGTATGTATGTATGATTGTATGTATGTATGTACGTACGTACGTACGTATATCTGTATGTATGCACGTGCGTCCGTACGTAGGTATGTATGTATGTATGTATGTGTGTGTATGAATGTATGTATGCATGCATGTATGTGTGTATGTATGTATGTATGTATGTATGTATGTATGTATGTATGGATGTGTGGATGTGTGTATGTGTATGAATGTATGTGTGCATGTATGCATGTATGTATGTGTGCATGTATGTATGTATGGATGTATGTATGTATGAATGTGTGTATGTATGTATGTATGTATGTATGTATGTATGTATGTGTATGTGTGCATGTATGTATGTATGGATGTATGTATGTATGTGTGTGTATGAATGTATGTATGTATGTATGTATGTATGTATGTATGTGTGTGTGTATGTATGTATGTATGTATGTATGTATGTATGTATCTACGTACGTACTTACGTACGTACGTACGTACGTATGTATGTATGTATGTATGTATGTATATCTATACATATATATATAGTTGTCTGCTGTTTGGGGCCGCCTCGGGGACCGCCGTGGCCACGGCTGCCAGACACAGCCCCAAAGCCTGGTCAAGATGGCATCCGTGAGGGGGGGGGGCGAGCCCGGCGCTCCTCCAGGCGTCGCGAATGCCACCCTCCCTTCTCCCTCCTCCGTCGCCGCCCTGCGCCACAGATGGGCCCAACGCGGCGAACGCGCGCGCGCAAACGCGCGCTCGCTCCGAACGGAGCGAACCGACGAGCCCCACCTATCCTCCCCCATCTCTCCCACCAGCTTCCACACATGCCTCCCCTGCCCCACCCCCCAAAAGCCCTGACCTCGTCGACCAGGACCCAGCCGAACTGCGCCGTCCTCAGCAGCTCGTGGCCTGCACGTCTCGCCGGTTCGAGGCGCTTGCAGGGACGCCCGCGACGGACGCAGCGAAGGATAGGGGAACGGAGCGGGTGGGAGAGGGGAGAGGGAAAAACGGGGCAAGCGTTATGTTGCTCCCATCGTACTTAAGGACCACATCCCAGAAATAATTTCGAGCACCCAGAAAAGTGTCGAAATAGTGCCGAAACAGTGTCTCCCAGGGCCCGGCACGTGAAAAACCCTAGAGTTTTGGGGTACTGTTCTGGCGCTCGAAATTCTTTCTGGTGGTCGAGGCGAAAGTACGTTGGAACATCATAAGGCAAGCGGTACTCCAGATTTCGTAATAAAGGGAGGGGGGTCTCATTTCGGGGGGGGGGTCTCTTCCAGGCTATCTTGGAGGGCCTGGGGGGGTCTGGGGACGACGTTTTGGAGGGTTCTGCCACGGGGGAGGTCTGAAATGGCTTGTCTTGGAGGGTCCAGACCCCCTCCCTTTTATCACGAAATCTGGAGCACGTTGGAACATCATAAGGCAAGCGGTACGCTTGCGTCGTAATCTGACATCCTGCCCCTCCAACCCGTCCCTTCCCACTGCGCCCGTGTTCCTCTGCCCGCGGACGCGCGTCACACAGCGAGCCTGGGGCTCCCAGAAAGACCCGTCGTGCTGTGCATGCGCCGTCGGGAGATGTGAAGGGGCCCACAAACACGCAAATAAATACACACAAATAAAAAGATTCCCCATGATTTCCCATATTTTCTAGGTTTTTGTCTTCCCCCCCACTTCCCATATTTTCGCATATTTTCTAGGGAATCGACGATTAATTGTGTCTGTGTGTTTTTTCCCTCCTGAAAATGGGGCGGAAGGAGCGGGAGGAGTCGGGGGATCAGGGAAGGCGAAGCAGGGGAAAGGAGGGGGCGGCGACGATGAGGCAGGACCCGGATACAGAAGCGTGGCCCGCGCGGAAGCCAGAGCGCCAGTCTGAACGACGGGAGCAGGGCGCGGGTGCGGCAGCGCCATCTTCACACACACACACACACCGAACGCTCCGATCGCAAACGGATCGCCTGGCGATGAGCCCACACATGTGCAGCCGCGAATCTTGCAAGAGAGATGAGGCCATGGAGGTTGGCGGAAAAACAGTGCCGCCCATACCAAGCGCGCCGCAGCACGGGCGAGGCGCCGGGCAGTGCGGGCAGGGGGCGCCCGGCGGCGGGAGGAGGCAGCGAAAGGCGGGGGGGCGCACGTCAGCGGCCCTCGAAGGAGCTGCCTGTGGGGCCACGCAGCGCGTGAGCGGTATACCGAAACAGCCAAGGAGGGCGAGAGCACTGACACACGGGCAGTCGGTGGAGCCCCCCCTTGGGCCACGAAGCGTGTGAGGGGTGTGCTCAAGCGGGTCTGGGGTGAAGCCCCGTAGGTGGTCGCGCAGCGTGAGATTGGGGCCTGGGGGTGCATGTGACTTCTGCCACTGGGGCATCCGGTGACGCTCCCTATGGAGGCAAGACGCGCGTCAAGGGTGTGCCCAGATGGGCCTGGGGATGTACGTGAACCCTGCCTCTGGAGCATTCGGTGGCGTTCCCTTTTAGGCCACGAAGCGTGTGAGGGGTGTGCCGACATGGGCCTGGGGACGCATGTGAGCCCGGCCACTGGGGCCTTCAGAGGAGCCCCCCACGGGGCCACGAAGCGTGAGGGGTGTGCCGATATGAGCATGGGGACGCAAGTGAACGTGAACCCTGACACTGGGGCCGTCGGTGGAGCTCCTTTCTGGGCCACGACGCGTGTGAGGGTGGGCCGAAATGGACCTGGGAACGCATGTGAACCTTGCCAATGGGGCCGTCAGGGGAGCTCCCTATGGGATCACGACGCGTGCGAGAGGTGTGCTGGCATGGGCCTGGAAAGGCATGTGAACCCTGTCACTGGAGCCTGCGGTGGTGCTCCCTATGTGGCCACGAAGCGCGAGAGGGGCGTGCCGGGGACGCATGCGAACCCTGAAATTGAAGCCGTCGCTCGAGCTCCCCATGGGCGTGCGAGGGGCGTGCCGAAACAGGCCTGTGGACGCATGTGAACCCGACCATTGCGGCATTCGGTAGCTCCCTACGGCCCTCGGAGGCCACGACGAGTGCTGATGATGATGATGATGAGGAGGAGGAGGAGGAGGAGGAGGAGGAGGAGAAGGAAGAGGAAGAGGAGGAGGAGGAGGAGGAGGAGGAGGAGGAGGAGTGTGACAAAATAATGGTGGTAATGATCCTGAACGCTCGCTTTGTAGCCAGCGATTGCAAGATATTGAGCAAGACTGGACCATCCTGCGAGGACGGTGTTGCTCGCCATCAACGCTCAAGTGCACATACGGGCGCGATCACGTTCGACTATACAAGACAACTGCGGGAATATTGCACAAGTGTGGGAACTAAGGAAGAGAGGAGGAGAGGGGCATACTTGAGCGCCCAGAAAGGGCGGCGGATACACACGCGCATCGGAAAAAAGTGGCATCACAATAATCCTGAGCAATTGATTTTGAAAAAAGGTTGCAAGAGACGGAGCAAGATCGGGCCAACCTTCGAGGACGGTGTTGCTCTCCGTCTAAGCGCAAGTGCATGCACGGGAGCGGACACGCTCGAACATACAAGACACCACACGTGCGCCAAACACGATAACAGCATGCTGGCTACGCCGAGCATAGAGGCCCAACCCTTTTTCACCAGCGCGTTCTGGATAACCAGACCTGACATTCGGACCTCATCACCATGGATGCATGGGGCCAATGCTCAAGAAAACGTTGCAAGCGCGATGGCCCTTCACTTCTGGGAGGAAACTTTGAGCTGGACATACTGACGACACGTGCGCGAGCAGATCCCTCTTCTGCAACCGCAGCACACAACATCACGAAACAAACCAGGGTCCAGGTCGAACATCAAGAGGCCAGTGTCCTTTTTCCACGGGGGGCCCACCGACACATGGAAGTGACCAGGCAAATGACCAACAAAAACGACGGACCAAGGCCTTAAACAACCTAGGAGGAAGCCTCAACCTGGAGGTCTCTGGGTTTTCGACCTTCCCGACCTTCCGGGGGATTTTCAACGAGACGCAAGCACAAGCGAGGGTGGCAACGGAACCTGGGCACGCAGGCAGGGATTGAGAAAAAGGAGGCCGAGGAGAAGCGTATCCGAACGGACACACGGGGCTCCGACCCCGTGATCTCTGTCACGGGCCAGAGTGTGGCGCGGGATGCTGGCATGCAAGCCTCCCGCCCGATATGACCGAAACCGGCGAAGGACCAACGATTTGCTCGCAGGACGAAACAAACCGCGCTGATCACCAAGCGAGATGCCCCTTGAGCTCACCGGCGCGCCCAAATCAGCACTTGCTTTTGTCAGACAAACCACCATGGCCGAAGAACTTCTCCAGGGCCGCTGGCGGATCAGAAAGACTTGTGATGATGGAGAGGGCACGCCGCGCTTCGTCCTTGTCGTTCTGGTTGCCCTTCTGCGGCCTGTCGTTGTCGTCGATGTCGTCGTCTTAAGGCTTGTGAAATCTGCCTCTGCCATTACCGTTCATTTTTTTTGTTTTTCCCGCGCCCCTGCTCCAATCTGTGAAGGGATGTTGAGCTGCTCGTTGTGCCGCCCATGTGTTGCTCCTCTTCGTGTCCAATCCCGCACCAATCGCAGGTGTAGTAGGCCGCGAAGGTGGTCCCAAGCGTACGGTTCGATGTTGATATCCACGGCGCTGTCATTGCTGGAATTTGTGGTGGATGTCGTGGTGGTTGCTGTGCATTGTGATGTGGCTGCAGCAATTCTCGTGCTGCATACAGGCGCCAACACGCTGCCGACGAAGCCGCCCGTGCCGGACGGGTGATGTGGATACTGTTCTTGTCGTGGGTGTCGCAATGGCGCAACGCCAGGGACGAGAGAAACCGATCCAGTTGTGAATGTTGATGCCTATCGCGGGCTTGGCCTGGCCGCGCTGGTCGCCGCCTCGGCCCCCGTGTCGGGCAAATGAGGCGGGCTCGGGCGATCTCGGCTCTCATCCTCCTGCTCCTCCTCCGCCTCCGCCCCCACCAAGCGTCGGCTCTGCAGGGCTGGCCACACTCTCCTACACCACCGTACCCTAATTTAGCCCACCACACTGCTACCTCTTCGGCGCTCGTTCAGTCGAGGCAGCGCGTCTCTCTTGGTCTTTCACTTGCACGAGTTGAGGGCCCACAGGGACAAGTGCAGCCTCGGCCATCCGCATAATGACTACGGCGCTGGAGAGGGTCAAGCACACATTGAGTATCCTGCAATTCAATCCCATGTACGCCAGTACCTCTGACAGATTGCAGGACATCGCCGACCTATCGCAGAACACGGATTTTACTTGTCTCAATTCAACTGGTGTGCAGCGTTACGGACCAGCTGGAGTGGCTACGTGGCGACGAGTGGGCACCAGATGGTGCTTAGACGCTGGCTGGCACAGATCTCCTCACAGCAATAAGTCTTGTGGGTGCTCTATCCTCCTCGGGCCACACATCAAGCGCAGCACGGTGGTACAAACATTTGTGTGCCCAGTTCCTGGCCGAGGCGTTGCTTTGCGTGCACGCTGTAAGCATTATGATGTTGCTGTGGTTTCTATTTACTTTCCACCAGTCCCTGCGAAGGCTGGACAGTTCAAGGCTTATTATCAGACGTGCGATTCTCTTGTGAAATGGTTACGCTCATTACCCTTCTGGAGTGTGCACAGAGTCTTTCCCATCATCTGTACGGACCTCAACTCGGGGTTTGGGCTCACGAGATTGGAAGGTTCGGAGTCATGGCGACCTACAGACAGCACGGCGGTTGGACCCTATCACGACAAAGTTCGTCAGAGGTATTCGGCAGAGGTCCCCCTCCCCTTTCTCGACATGCTCGACATGGCGGTACTCAATACACACAGAGGCTACGGGGCAACATACTTCAACAATAAGGGGCAGGGCAGCCAGCTGGACTATATCATCGTCCCACGGTGCTCGATATCTCAGACACTCTCAGTGGGGCCGCTACGACGTA